CACCACGGCAGCTTGCCCTCACTCCATGCCACCCTTGGGCTTCAACTCCACAACCCTCTGCAGCCATCTGTCCTACAGCTTCACCTTTTCCCCCATGGCCAAGGGTTCCCAGTGTGACCATTTTGCCTCCCCATAGCACACACCTCTCTAGCTGCAGCTGCTGCTGCTTTCTATTAGCCACGAATCCCTCAATGCTGACAGGGACCTGCTCCACAGCCTTCGGTGCCTTTCTGCATTTGGTGGTCTGGAGACAAGACCCATCCAGATCCCCCAAAGGTGCTGCCATTCACGCAGCCTTCAGGGGCTTAAAATGCCATTTCCAGTGGGTAAAGGAGACAGATGCTCCGCTTTCACCTCTATGTGAATGCAGCCTTGTGAAAGGGATGAACCAATAGCTAGTGTCCTTCAAACAGGAGGCAGAAGCTGAAGAACCCCCTGACCTGCCTCTTCTCTCACCCACTTGCACACTGAGCAAAAGCTAAGAGATCCATGCAAGACTACCCGTCAGTAGGTGAGCGCTGGTATTTACTGTGCTGTAACAGACAGTGCTGGTTGAAAATGGACTAGGATTTTTGCTGTGAATCAAGTGTTGAGGCCATTCCTTTGTGTCTCCAAGAAGCACGGAGCAGAGCTGAAGGAAGAAAGAAGAGGTGAGAGTCGGGGAACCGAGTGCAGAAATGTGCTTCAAACTGTATCAACAACACTGTAAGTGGGCACTTCTCAGGTGGCAAGGGATACAGTTCAAGTGTATAACTCATTAATTAAGCAGAGCAGCTAATCTTAGCACTAATGAACTCTAGCTCAGGTAATGTAACACTTAAAATTAACAAATTGGACATAAGTCATTCACAGTAAGGATTTCCATTCCCAGGTTAGGTGAGAGCTATTGTTATGATTAGATTACTGCCAGCCAGGACCAAAACAGTACACCAGGGTAACAGGAAAATAATCGTCCACATGGATCAGCTCCAGCTGTAACAAGACGCGCTGCGGACCTGAATGAGGCGCCGGGTGCGAATGTGAAATCTCACTACTGTATCAAAACAAACATCACTGCGTGGTACACGTAGAGCATAGCATGCCATTTCGCCGGGGTGGTGCCGGCCACTGCTCGGTGGCTCGGGGCGGCGGAGAGCAGCGATGCAGCGGAAAGTCGCTTGTTCTTTTTCTCCCCCTCCCTTCTTTTAAAAGTCACGGGCTTTCACAAGGGCACTGCAGTCCGATTCAAAATTCATCTTCAGAGCTGTCAGCTAAGAGCATGACTCGGTCTTGCATGCTGTTAAATTCCCTCTGCTGGGGGAAGAAAAGAAACATTGAAGAGCTCCACATACAAAAAGGAAATTAAGAGCATCTGGATCCCTCCCATACTCTGACCAAGAGGTCCCAGGCACTTCAACCCAGACAAACCATAGCCATAACCAGGCTGTGCTCGCTCTACAGCCAGAATGGTTAACGGGAGAGTGGGTGGGATTGGGGTTTTCCTTTGCAGTTGCCATACCTTTCTTTTATGTCTCTTTGAGCCGTTTCTCCTTCGGCGATTCATAATCTTAATGCTGTAGAGTGCTCCTAGGATAAAGAGGGCTCCGGCTATTCCGACTCCTACAGGAACCAGCATCCCTGACATGTATCCTGCCTATGTGGAAAAGAAAGAAAAGAAGAGCAGCACTCACAAGACCATCCTTTCGGAGTCGTTTTTCACCAGTCTAGGACTGCAATATATCCCTCTGCTGCTTTTGTCAAAGTTTATCACGTTTGAGTCCCTATCATCTGCGTGCATAGGACGAGCCGGGCTTCCAGGATTGCTAAGCAAGCCCCCAACCAGCCCCACTCCAGGACCAAGCTGGTAACCACCACAGCTCACTCACCATCAGCTTTGGCTAAACAGATACTTCTTTGTGACAGCTGAGACACTGCAGGTTTTGCCTGCAGTTTCTTCTCGCCTTTAGGAGAAGAAATGATTTTGGTGCAGAGTTGCAAGTGCTGAGGTGCCGTGTCTGTCAGTACAGGTGCACGTGTGAAGGAACACCTCAACCGCGCAGGGCAGGCAATCCCGAGCCACAACAAAGACCTGTGACCACCCAAACAGCTTCACTACATGCTGTGCAAAGTAGGCTGAGAGCAGCTCTGGGCTCCCCAGGTACTGCCAGCATAAATGAAGGCTCAGGTATATGTCTGGCCATGTTCCACAGAGCTCAGTCTGGAGAGCCGAGAGCTGCTGTTATGCTTTTTGACGCAAATCTGGACTAGCTGTGGCACCTCCCTGCCCACAGCCCCCTGCACTGCAGCCCTCAGGGCGGCAGGAGCAGGCAGAGGAGAGCACGGTGCAGGCAGAAGAGCCAGCGTGTCTGAGCCAGAAGACCCAGAGCAAGACAGCAGGCACCAGCTGGGGAGGAGGCAGAACAGGTGAGGAGCTGTTTTTGGAGAACGGCTGCACTGCGAAGCAGGGATGCTGACCTCCGTCGTGGGAGATGCATGGGAAAGGGACCCAACAACCTCCTGGCCAGCTCTGATTGCTGGATTGTGTCTTACCGTGGCCAAACTGCTAAATATACCTCCAGTAAAGAGTATTACACAGCTCCCATGCTCCCCAGAAACACATTGGCACGGGAATGCAAGTGTCCCGGGACACTATAGTGCCATATCTCAGCACAGGGATGGGAGAAGCTGCCCTCAACACCTGCAGCTGGATCTCTGAAGGAGCTGAAGTTGGAAAAGCCAGGCTGTGTCTACAGCTCACAGGAAGAAGCAGCAGTTTGTCCCTTCCTGGCCGAGCCCAGGCTTCATAGTCAAAATCTTTGAACCCAATGCTTTTGCTTTGCATGGGAAGGGGTCACTTGCATGAGAAGGACGATGACACAGAGGGAAGGCACGCACACCTTCAGCTGGCCTTAAGGGAAGCTCAGCAAACATAAATCAGTTCTAATTCAATAGCTATGAATTGTTTGCATTACCCAATGGAAAAAATATTTAGCATGAGTAATTTAAAATTACACATTAAACCTTTAGAATCACACACTTAAACATTTAAAATCCTTTGGAAAATATTCTTAAGTGCTTGTTATTTTATATTTTACTGTTTGAAATGAAAATTAACCCAAATGTTAAAGTGCCAAATTGCTTCAGCATCCTCCCCTAATTCAGGCTGGGGGGGGCTCAATGGAGTAAGGGAGACGGGTACAGCCTGGCTCCCTCCCTCATTAGCGCTGCCTTCATTCACACTGCGGCAACGGAGTCCTCTGCAGTGGCACTACAGCTTTACTCTTCACCATCTACACCCCCCAAAATAGATTTACACCTGCCAAGGGACACACACACACAATTCAGGGGACTTATCAGACAGCTCTTAGCAAGCCTCAGTCCATTGCTTACAACCACTCATCTTCATCTGCATTCCCAAACTGCAACACAACCTAAACACACATGCTTACATTGTAATTGCTTTTCTGTCATAATCCTGGGGGAAAAAAAAAACTATTTGGTGTGTGCTGCCCTGCCTTCGTACGCTTACCTGGAGAACGAAAATAACTGTTTCCATCCAGGGCAGACACAATGCTAACAAGGGCTGTTTTGCTCTCCCAAACCCCTCCAGATCCTGCTCAGCACTTTAAATAGCAACAACCGTGTGCCTGGATCCCAAGGCTTGCGGGATCTGCAGCTGCATCTTGCAGGTTCCCTGGACACCCTCCCAGAAAACGCAGCCCCGTTCAGCGCACCCACTTGGAGGGGGCTGCATGCTGGCACCCCAGTTCCCGAAAAAGGAGGTTAGTGAGAACACAGCTAAGAGACTCTATCTCTGCAAGGCAATTAAGGTGCCTTAATTGGGTGACCTAATTAGTGTAGCGTGGGTTTTTCTATTTCTGGAACTTTGCTGCTGGCGCAGGCGGTGAGGAGAGACTGGAAATAGCTTCTCAGCTGCTGGACAGCTGAGTTTGCTATCAGAAACCATTGGGTTTAATACAGTGAACTCTCTAGCCTGTCCATGAGCCTTCACCATGCCTGGCCAGCCCATGCCCTTTTACAGACTTCCCCTGACAGTTGGGCCATCAATTTCTACTCCAAAAGCCTGCAAGGTGAAGCAGATGCTGGACCTGTTCTCCCAGCCCTTCTGTGTCACACAGTCCAACTCATGGGGGCTTCTGCACCTGCCTGATAGGCTTCCCCATTTCACAGGCAGCTCCGAAGCCACTTTTTTTACCCTCTGCCCATGGGAAAGATGCAGCTTCTTTACAGATCCTAGGAATGCTTTTAATACACCCAATCCATGAGCATGACTTTCCTGGCTCCACTGGACTTTGAGATAACAGCAACAGAGGACTTCAGAGGAACCTCATATCCATTATTCAGCATACCAAATGCAACATTTGCACTGTGTTTGCAGGAGACCAGACATAAATCTGTCACTGATTCGTGCTCCTGGTCCCACGCTGCCCAAACTCTTCCCTCTCCCAGAAGGGCAGCCCTAAGGGACACAGGAGGATGCATCTCTCAGGGACGGGGTCATTATGTGCAAGGATACTCTTTTGGATGGCAGGATTGTAAAATAGAGAGGACAGGGGGGCTCTGCCAACAGCAATGAGAGGGGCAGATAGTATGACTGGTGCTGATAGACTCAACAAAGAAGAGGAGGAAACGAGGTGAGCAGGTTTATTTGGGAGTGATTTGCTTCCCCAGCATTTGGTTGGGGGTGGGAAAGTGGTTTTTGTTGGGCTTTTCTAAGGGAACATGTGACCAAGGTGAAAGATCTGCCTCCACACATCTGCCGCTCCCCAAAGGAAGGAGATGGCTCAGGGCTGAGCCTCTCTTTTAAGTGGACACTAGCAGATTCCCAGTTACATCAATCCTTGTGCTGGACACTGCCATGTAGTCCAACATCTACCTGCAAGTAGGTACAGACCCTACAGAGCAATTCTGTAGAGAGAAGAGGCTGGACCATGCATCCCCCCTCCACAATGGGGAAGGACAGAGGGAGCCAACAAGGTGCCAAGAGGAAAGAAGTGAAAGCTACGGCTTCAGTGAGAAGGCATCTGATGCCCCCAAGCTTGTGTTGTGCCAGCTGGGTTAGGTCTGGCACGAGCAGGTGACTCTTGCATGCTACATTCACTCCACACACTCAACCAGTCTTAGTGTCTGCTTTTTACCTTCGTCGGAAAAACCATTCTCTGTCCTTTCAGCATTCGCTCTGGCTGAATCCCAGGCCAAGGTGCTCTGCTAGGAGCAGAGATCACACTAGACATGTCTCCTTCCTATTGTAGGCAGAAAAGCAACTCAACAAGGGCTGAGGAGGAACTCACCTTAACCCTTCCACTCCCCAGTCCCGGAAAACATACCCAGACCCTGTCTCTCTGTTCAGCCTTGATGGTAAGGTGCTGCTGAAATTTGGTGGAGATCACGTGGGAAGGCTGGGCTCATTCAGAGATAATCTGCCCAAGCTTAGAGATGTATTTTCAGGGCTGGAGTTTCCTATTGAGTTCCTTGTGGTGGGTTTTTTCTATACTGACTCTAATCCTGTTCAAGAATTTCCAAGCCCTGTTGAGTAACAAGACGTTCTGGTTTTAAAATACTATTGTCACCTCATTTCCAGCTTCGTGACTTTGCTGTCATCAACACAACATTTGAAAGGTTTCACAACCATTTCAAATTGCTAATATTTGCCCTAGGGCAGCAGAGCCTAAAAAGCCACCACTGCCTGTGGCTGGCACAACTGTTGATTTCACTTATCACCACCCTGTAACATCCTATGTTTGCTTTTTTTCCTTCCAGGAATTTGCAGCTCTTCTGGCACGTGGTGGTAGGAAAGGTCTTGTCCAGAGGCAGTGGCATGGCATACAGTCTCTCACCAGAGAGGATCACCAGATCCTCTTGACTTGGATCTAGGACCAAGCTTAGGACTTAGAAAAAAAGGGTGGAGGTAAGTTAGAGGGCAATATGAAAAAGTAACTCGGGTAGTCTGAAGAGAAGGTTATTTTCAAGTGCAGAAAAGTCTATCAAATACCCCTGTCCCTCCTTCTGCTCTTAGTTAGTATTCATCAGGGATGTACTGTGGATTTACACCACTATATACAACAGCAGCATCTGGTTCATTTGCCTCCTCGATAAAATTTTAAGCCCCTTCTCAATTGTCTTTGTAGAGATAATGAACTGCACTGACAAGAGTTTATTTATTCCTGCAAGTAAAAATGTTTTTCTTTTTAAAGTAATTGAAACACTGAGCCTCCTACCTTATCTTTCAGCTTCTCCATCCAGCTTCTCACTGAAAAATAAGACAAAAAGCTGTAATCACGTTACTTATGTCATATTAATTAGTAACGAATGATAATGATAGTATTAAAATAGACACTAATTAACTTGACAAGCTGATAACAGTTTTCATTAGATTTCCTCTCTTCTCGCTCATGAAAAAAAAAACAAATGCAGCAAATCAACACGAGAAACTCTTCAAGCGAGCTGGCAGGCAAGAAGCTTGCTTTTGCCTGTGCAGTTCACATCTTCACAGTGATAAGAAAAGGAAGACAAAAACCAGTATTTCAGGTTGTGGGTTTTTAACCAGCACTTCTCATGCACACTGGGATGTCTGACAAGGAGAAAACCTTACAGCGTGGCTACCCCCTTCCCCTGGCCTCCTCCACACAGATATTCTTCCCTCTATTTGGCATAGCCTGTAATGACGCCTAAAAAAGTATTATTCCCTGTCTTTTACTCCCCTGCTTTTCTGGAAGCAGCCACGGGCCGCTCTGGGAAGTCATCAGATAATATCTGAGGACTGGGACAGCACTGGAGGTGCTAAATTACTAAACCAAGTAAATTTTTACTGTCATCACAGAGCCTTTCATTTTCTAACAGTTACCATAAGTCCCATGAAATATGATAGCCAAGAATGGAAAGTCTTTAATGGCATGTACTTTGGGATGAAATATTCAGCTAATCTCAAAGAACTGCAAGCACTCAGCAGTGGGTGCACGACTCATTAACTCCCCAGGCGACTGGATTCGTCTGCACTGCACCGAAGACAAAATGCTCAGCCTTTGAGGTATCTGCTAATATTTTAATGAATTCCTGCTCACAGGTAAGAGGCAAACAAACAGTTAAATGTTGGGGCTTTTTCAGACTTTGGCAGCTGTGTTTTAAGCTCTGCTCAAGAATCCCCATTTCTCCAGGAGGACAATGCTATAGGCACAAGGGGACTCTTGGATGCACCAACGTCCTGTGGGACATTTCTCCCAGGATGCATTACATCCCAGATGTAACACTCCCGGATGTAACACACTGTTTAAGGAGTGAGACCCCATTTCCAAGCCTGCTTTCTTACAGAAGCTCCCATCAAAGCTTGTGTTAGCAGTATTAGAGTCTGCACATGCACATATACTACTCAGGGTAACTGTCCTTCTGAAACGAGAGCCTTACCATGAGTAGGGAGGGTGCAGGAGTAGGGTGGTCAGTAAATAACCTTTTAACATCTCAGATACGATACAGAGAAGCACAGCAGCTAGGAAGTAGTAAGACTCATCCCAAGATGTCAGCATCACCGAATTAAACTCCATCATTTTAACAAGTTCAAAGTGATTTCAATACTTCCTTTTCAAGTATTAGTAACATAACACTTTCCAAACAGAAGCATCCCAAATTACCTAGAGGTGGAAAAGTGTGAAACAGGCACAGAAGCGTACACACAAACTCACTTATCTCTGACGGGCAGCTAAGAAATAAAATAAGTTATCCAGGAGACATACTCAAGCACACACAGCACTAGAAGAGGAAAAGAGATCTGCTTTCATTAACTCTTCCCACCATTAGTCCTGTCCTGCACGGACTAAGACATAGTAAACTCAATCTATGAAGGTGCCAACATCATCATCCTCTGCGAGTACAAGCCTGCATGCATTGGATTTCACTCCCTATGGAATACCAGAGAGGAAGGAAACACATGGAGAGGGACTTTTGAAGAAGGACTTTTTACAAGGGTATGTAGTGATAGGACAAGGGGTAATGGATTTAAACTGAAAGAGGGGAGATTTAGGTTAGATATAAGGAAGAAATTTTCACTCTGAGGGTGGTGAGGCACTGGAACAGGTTGCCCAGAGAAGTTGTGGATGCCCCATCCCTGGAAGTGTTCAAGGCCAGGTTGGATGAGGCTTTGGGCAACCTGGTGTAGTGAAGGGTTTCCCTGCCCACGGCAGGGGAGTTGGAACTAAATGATCTTTGAGGTTCCTTCCAACCCAAACCATTCTATGATTCTATGACGTGGTTCCCCTGGGCTAGGTTTCTCAGCTGGGTTTCTAGGTGTAACACTGGGTGTAAACATCACCTAGACCTTCAAGGAGATCCCCTATGCTGCTGCCTTGCTGACAGGCATGGGAGTGACCACTGGGAGAATTCTGCTTAAAAATAAAAATATAGCAAACCAAAGGAATTAATCCCAAAACTCTTGCCCAAGAGCCTTCTCGTGACTCTCGTGTTTAACGACGCTGCCGTGTTTTATTCCAGGCTGGCAGGAGGAGCGGTGATGGTGACTCACAGTCACACAGTAACAGCCACAGCTTCAAAACCACAGCGCATGTTTTGAAGCTTTAAACTGATGCCCTCTGTGCACATCCAGCCAGCCACACGCACACACACGGTGCGTGAACGCAGCCACTTAGAGCTGCTGTGATGCTCGGTTGGCCCCAACTCAAACTAAGCACAAAGCCCGTTTTTACATGTCTTTCACAATAATTACATGGGTGATCTCGTCAATAGTTGACCCAGTTTCTCGCAGCTGAATAACGGTGTATCTAAAGCAGCAATTAACTCCAGAGAATTTCCGACAAGTCGGAGGCAGAGGCTGATCTAATAATATTCTACTACCTATTTTCAATAAACACAAATTCTGGCTTCGTTCTCCTCTGCTCCACAAAACGACAGCAGCACATCCGTTGGGACCCACAGTCACTACAGTACAAATCTTTATTTGCTATTTATACAATTGCTTATTATGAAAACCGACCTTGTTTTCAGCGATGTAGAGCACATGTCAGATGCCTTTGTGAATCAGCCTAAGTCACAGAAAAAAACACCACCATGTGATTTCTCCTCCAGACCGGAGGGCTCTCCGAGACATGCTCTAATGCAGCCACAAGCTGGCTGGGTGAAAGCCCCTGACCTGTGCTAAAGGAGAAGAATGGTCCCAAATTTGGGACGATAAGGCAGCAGGAGGTCAAAAACATGGCAGGCCCTTCAACATCCTGGCAGGACTGCACCAGTGTGGAGCAGCTGCACTGTGCTCCCAGACCTCCCAGCTCTGCAGCCGGTTAGGCTGGGGCCATGATAAATCAAGAAGCATCCGATTACCAGGAATTACAAATACTTTTAATGTCACTAATGGATAAAACCATTTTAACACTTTTGAGGAAATGACAAGACACCATGTCATTAAAACTGAGTGCTTTCTGCTCCAATTATTTACCCATATGTAGACCCTAGAGAGTGTGGGTAGGAGATAAAGCACTTTTTCAGGTTAGAATTGATATCTATGCTAAACGGCTACCACCTATTAATTCTGGACTTCAGACTCTAATTATGCATCATTATCCATAATGAATATTCTGAACTTGGTCTTGGAAGAGGAACATTGTGGATGGCATCTTCTCATAAAAATGTAACACTCTCTGAAAACACTAGGTGACTTACCAATGAGGCCACGCAAATAATTAGTAACGAATACTCTAATCCATGTATTTTTCATCATCTTCTTTTTTTTTTTTTTTCCTTTTCTGATCACTGGATGTCCTGAACAAATGGCAACAGTCTCTGGGTGTGAAATTACTAACAAGTGTCTGCAGTACCAGCTCCTCTTCAGTGGCATTTTAAGGATGGCAACTAGTCCAAATTCTCTGCCCCGGCTTAATTTTGATCCCTTGGTTTCACAGCAAGCCGAATTAGATCAGTGTGGAGCGCTTCTGAAAATTACATACATAATCTGACATTTCCTCTGAGATTTATATAATGTCTGCATCTCTGCAAATTAATTTTAAATAACATATATCTGAAGATTAGGCAGGAGGTCAGGAGCACAGAGGAGGAACACGGTTGTCTGGCACTGGCGTCAGAGCAGCCCAGGATGAATTCAGACAGTTACAGATGCACCGTGCTATTTTTAGTCATTTTTACCCAGCTTTCCCCTTGAAAATATGCAGCCAGCTATTAAGAAGTCACAGAGTCAACTAAAGAAATTAGGCTAATTTGCAGAGGTAACCAGCAGCCTGTGGTGCCTGCCTGGCTCCTCCTCAGAGTAACCTGGTCCAAAGGAAGAGTCAAAAAGTCCCATGAGCAAAAACTTTCTGAAGTTCAGGTTTTGCCAGGTGCAGGCTGAAGGCTCAAGAGAGGGGTAACAGGTGACATTTGAGGATCTGTGGTATATGGCACTGGATGGCCCAACATCCCCTTTCACCCTTCAGTGCTATCAATCCAAACTAACCCTCATGGGAGACGGCTCTTGTGTTCCCATCCCTCTCCTTTCCACTGTGTCCTACAGCTTTGCAAGCCCTACAAGAATAGATTCAGCCAGCTTAACCAAGCTGCTCATTAGTTTTTTGAGGAGCTCCTCTTTACAAAGGGGGTGACCAGATATGATTTATAATGGAGAATCAAAGTAGAAGAGGTTTGGAAGCTGCCTCCAAGTTCAGCTGGAAAGACACTCTGACAATGAAGCCTTTGCATGATTTACATCAGGGGAAAATCCAGTATTTGTCACTTCTGACCAAAGAAAATTAAGTTATGGTAGCGTGACAGACCATACTCACTGCAAGTCTAAACCACAGTCTGACACTGTCCTTCTAGGGAAGAGCCTGCTCAGGGATCTCAGCATCCCCAGCTTACGGCCCTGCAATGTCTTGCTACAAACAACTCACCTGAAAGGAGAGGGGATGTTAACTGAAGAAAAAGATCTGGAAAAGGCACACTTGCTACACAGTAACTCCCATGGCTACTGTGCATCCTCACCATGGAACAAAGTGGGTCCACATGTACCATTATTAACTGTGCGTTCCTTCCCTGAACCCTTATCAGGGGCCTTCATTCACCATCTCACTTCTTGTTGCTGTTCAGAGGACTGTCTGCTCTCAAATAAGTTCTTATTTATTGCTCAGGTCTCTTGAATCTCCTTTTGCTCTGGAAGCTGCAGGGTGCTGGGTCCCACAGCCAGGCTCTGCCTTTAAGCCTCACCATAACACACCATCAAATCTCTCGCCAAAGGCTTTTCCCTGCTTCCCTCATCAT